AAGAAGCCACCGACCAAGACGTTCTCTTGAGTCAAGAGTTTCAGGGCTGTCAAGTTGCTGGTGCTAAACCTCAGAATGAGTCACCACAGATTCCATCAGCTGTTTCACTGGTTTGCTGATGTTCGTTGATGTTTGCTGTGATCCTTGCTTCATGTTCGCTTTGAGATCTAAGGACTTCACCGGGCAAAGTGTGCCACAACAATGGGAAAGACCAGCGCAAATCGGCAGCCATCGATGCAATCAAAACGAGGTTTCTTCGCCGGCGGCTTGGCATCCTTGGCGGGTGCTGCAACTGCCTTTGCGTCTGCGTCCTTCTGCATGGTCCTGGAAAGCTCCCAAGAGCAGAATATGGTCAACAATTGCCAAGGGGAAGATTTCCAACTATATACAGGAATCGCGAAAGTAAGACTTATTTACAGTAAAGGGTTATATAGCCCTTCACAGACCTGACACGTGTCAGGGCGAGAGAACATGCGTCTGAGGTGTGCAGTTGAATGTGGGCAGCACTAAGAAATTAATTGGAGGTACCTACTGAATTCAAAACTGATTTGTTTCTGTGGATGTTCAAGCACCTCTCCATGCTTTTAGGATGACACGCACAAATCACAGGTGCGACTCGATGCTTTGGCTCAAGAAACAGGACGCGCTGAGTGTCTTGGTTTTTTACATGTTTGCACATCCTTAGGTTATGAGCCCAAGACGAATCTTGGCGGCCTATAGAAAGTCCACCTTGCATTGGCAAGTTGTTGGCCGCCATGGAGCAGCGCAGACGCAGGCAGCAGCACCGCTCTCGAGAGCGCAAGGAGCAAGCTGGTGGACCAAAGGCTCCAGCCCCTTTGGTGGAGATTGGGGCGGCCGATCGACGCTTGGATGCACTCCTTCTTGTTCTTTCCATCGATGGCGCCCATGCATGACGGCCACCGCAGGAGCAGACAGCTCCCAGGCAAAAACATTGGGTTCTGTTTTAAACAGGCGGCAAAACAAAAGGGAATTAGGCATCAAAGCTGCTTAAAGCATTTGGTGCCTAGTGTCAGGCGTGCGTTTTTGCACTTCGCACATCCAAGACACAACTCGGCTGTCACCAGGGTGGCCCACACGCGGCCATCCCAGGCGTCTGAGCATACTGTCCATAGGCCTGCACAAAGGCGGCGGGAATGCATCACAACTCCAAAAAGCATGGCCAGTATCGGCGGAAGCACTATGATAAGAAGAACAAGGTCTGACAGGCTTTTGTTTCTGCACGGCGAGTGCAGCATCACTGACAAACGCGCCAGTGAGAATGGCAAAACTTTGGCGGGAGTCTTTGGCTAGATTAATGGCTATTTTACATCTTTCTGCAGAAAAATCAACATACTGACAAAAAGTGGCATCATTGCGTCAGGAAGCTTTCCAGGCATGAAATTCATGGGCACGGAAGCTATTGCGCAAAATATGAGACGTCAAATCGTTGCGCCGTCGAGGCACATATGCTTCAAATGATGGATCAGCTTTATGCAAGGCCAATGTCTCACCAGTCAAATCATGTTTCCACACCCAAGGGCTAGAATATGACCATGAAAAACGTTTGAGCAATGAAGTGATCGCAGGACCAACTCCATAACTATTATGCCATGCATATAGCACATTGGTACTTACCTTATGGAGGCATCTACGAACAGCGCCGACGCAGCGCTGGGCAATCCGAAAATTAATATTCAGTCGATGACCTCGCAGGAGATTCCTGAGGTTCGGACTGGCACAGTTCGGCTCGTGAAGAGCCTGCTTGATGGCATTTTGAACCTGAGTGCAAATTGCCATCGTCGGCACTTTGAGGATCCATCCAAATTCAGCTTTGGACAGCGGAGCAGCTGCAATGATGCTTTTGCGCATAGAGTAACTCACAGGCAGCCAGGTGGCACGGCGGATCAGAGCCACAGTGCGCCTGATCCTTTCATCTTCCGTTTTGGACATTTTTCTTTGAACAAAACCACGAAACGTGTGTCCCAAAATAACAACATTGTGGGACACTTGGTTGGCAGGAATTCCATGGTCGACAAAATCTTGGCGACCTTTTTTCTGAGGATGAAAATATAGGCTTTTGGCAGTGTTCTCTTTGAGTTGGAGCTCACGACTCCAAGATTTCCAAATTCGTTCTCTATCTGGAGAGCTTCTGTGACAGATTGTGTGGCCCACGACCTGTCGTCCACAAACGTTTTCAAAGTGGCCGACGGGTGTGTCCTGG